TTCAATAAACTGGGCAGTATTAACAGCAATGGTAAGCTCTCGAGGTTTTACATTATATGCTATACATTATTGTTACCTGGTAAATCATAGAATTTAGATAAATTGATAGAGATTGTGAAAATAGTAAAGTAATTGCCTAAAATAAATCCTGTACTGGCCAAGCATGCGAAAGACAGGTGTGTGTATTTGTAACACACATTGAGTCAGTATTTTTGATGAGACACATGTATTCATCTGTTTATTTTACATTAGGTACTAACATCAAACTGTTCAACACAAATCATTTTTATCTATTGTTTTCTCGAATATTTGTTATGATCAGTATTGCCTATTTCACCTTACAATTGTCATACAAATATGCCAAACTTGTTCATCAACATCAGCCTAACCAAAGGTCAATGATTCCTAGAGACCAAAATTGGCAGTGTTGACATGCATCAGTGACTTTATGTGTGATTAAATCACTTTCTATATATTTTTAAGGACTTTTAGTCTGCAGTAGCATATTTTATCAATGAAGCCTCCAGCCTAAGAGCAATCATTATATTAAAGCTGACATGCCAAGATTAGTTTTTCAATTTTCAGTGGGGACAAAAGTTTTCAGTGACAACCTGGCTTGAGAGCCACTTGCCATGCAAAGTGTCAGCTGGTGGCTTTCAAAGGGAGGACATCTATTAACGTACCTACACAATCATGCAGTTTGTGGGTGGGAAGTGGATCATTTTGAAAGTAGCCTTTTAAATTCATGAGACATTGTACTAATATGTCAGATTATTACTGTTTTTACACCTTATCTTGAAAGCTTGATAGCTTACAACTTTAGGTGCCCAGTTTTAAAATAGGAAGTGCTGGATATGGTCCAGGAGACAGAACTTATGTTACCATCTTCCTCAATCAGGGGCGGACTTGCAACTCATGGGGCCCCTGGGAAATAGGGGATCATGGGGCCCCTGTGTCCTTGCCCACACAAAAAAAGCCTATAAAAGTTACCAGGGGCATTTCATGAGGCCCCCTACTGACCCCAGGCCCTCGGACAGTGCCCGAGTTCTCGAATGGTCAGTCCGCCCCTGCCCTCAATAGCATTCTACGCAATACTCCTCACCAATGCATCCTCAGTCTTTGAGGCTCTGCTTTTAGATGTAGATCATGTACCTCTTCTTTGTTTCTCCTCCCCTAGTGAGCGATGCCTATGGCAAGGTTCTTATCTTCATTATAGAGTCATATAATAATTTAATGCATTTTAGTTACCTGTTCAAAGATACCATACATGAAATCCAAGCCAGGCCTGTTTGCATCAAGTCAAATATTTGATAACTGCAATATATATAAAAATATCTTTTTTTCACATGGAACAGTTTTGTTATAAATTAGATTACATCTCGCAGCAAACAAAGTGTTAATGCACATTTTGGTATTCACAAATATTAAGCCACACTGTCAGTTTGACTAAGTTCAGTTGTTGAGATTATGCTAATAAATATTTCCTTGGGCTCTTTATGTGAGTGGGGGGAGAATGATGGGGGTCAGAGGTTAATGTTCCTTTGGGGCCCGTGCTATACACATCCTTGATCTTGCTTTTCTATATTCACTATGAAGTCTGCTGAATCCATTTGCATGCAGTGCAGCCGACGTGCTGATAGACAATTTTTGCACAGCTGATTTTGTAATCATTTTATTCTTCCTTAAATCAGGTTTTATTGCAGACTTCTGTCTGGAATACAATGCAGAAGAATAACATTTGTTACACCAAAAACAACAGACCATAAATATTGTTTTTTTGTATGTTTTTATAGTAACTGAGATCAAAAGGAACATCTGTTAAACTGACAGCTAATGTTTCTATTATTATATTTAACTGCCTGATATGTGGATACTGACATGCCCTAAACTTTTCATCTGCAGAAATGCCCACACCACCTTCAGAGCTAATTCCAGGCTTGGTGTTAATCTGGAATGTTAGTGAAAGATGATTGCTACTCTATACTATCATTTGCATGCCTTAGTAAAAAGTAGGGTTGCATGCGGAGAAAAAAATGGAGAGTTTATAACCTAATGAGCCTAAACAAAATGTTTCAAGATTTTATACCTGGCTAGGAGAAGGAAGTGTCTTCTTCCCCTGGTGCCTGAGCCTTCTGGTGTGGACACAACACTGTTTAGTTTATGTCAGGGGTCTCCAAACTACAGCCTGTGTGCCACATCCAGCATGCTACAAGTTTTTATCCAGCCCACAGCTAGGGTCAGTGGTGAGTCCTTAAAGTGAGGTCCAGTCAAAATGAAAAGAAATAAAAGTCAGCAGCTACAAAAATTGTAGCTACTGACTTATAAAAAACAGACACTTACCTTTCCCTTTGATCCCGTGGTGTCCTCACACCCGCTGGATTCACCAGTTGTCCTGTGTCTCCGGTACTTTTATTTTGGGCACCCGGCTGTGACAGCTTGCGGCTTCACATCCGGGTGCCCACTGCGCATGTGCGAGTAGCACTGCTGTTTGTGAATGGTCTTCTGGGACCTGTCACGTGTCCCAAAAGACTACGGGGAGGGAGGGGGCAAGTACAAATTATGCTTCCGATCGCCAAGGTGATCGCAGCAAAAGTGGGAGTGAGCACCTGTCAAATTTGGGTACCCCCTTCTCACCATTCCCCAAAGGTGCCAATCCTTGAGCGGGGGACGAAGCCTTAAAGTGCACACACTGTTGTCCACCCAGAGGTTTCAGTTTCATGCTGTAAAAACAGGTTAACAAAAATATCAAGCCACCTGGCTCTCTTTTCTGCAGCAACACTGCTTGTCATTGGCCCCTCAAACTGTCTCACCAGCTCTCCTGGCTCTCTGAACTCTCTCCTGGCTCACCCAGCCTGTAGTCACAGCATCCAGCTGCACGGACCCACTTCTGGCTTCTCAATAGGGGTTTTCTTGACACCCTGGGCTCTCTCCATTCTCCAAGATCTCCAGATCCCCTCAGTTCCCTGGTCTCCTATTTGGCTTAGCCCTCCCAGTCTCCCAGACTTTCTCAGTTTCCCAGACTCTCTCATCTATCCCAACTCTCTCAGTCCAATGGACATGGAATCTCTCCAACATGGAGTGTTATCTCTTGAGTAAAGCACCTCTATCTCCAGACAGGATCACACACCTGTCTTCAAACTGGAGCACACTCCCTCCTGGCTGGAGTTCTGAGCTATGCCTAAGCTTTCATTATAGGGCTGAGTGCACCCAGACACACAGCCCACTGGTCTTCAACAAGACCTGGACACTGGGTTGGAGATTTCTTTCTTCCCAAAGCACTCTGAAATCTCCAAACTACAGAGCCCAATCCAGGAATACCAAAACCTGGAGTAAGCTGGAGACAGCTTTCTGTGCTCATAATTTATATTCAATAGTCCCGCACTCTTCATACGTGCGAACCCTGTGTCCTTTTTCCAACCATTTTCACATTTACACAGTGGCAGGGCCTCGCATTGTCATATATATACTGTATATACAGTATATATAGTCAGCTAGGGGAAGCTACACCTCAATTGTTAGCTAAGAGGACTGAGTTACAGCCTGGGTGTGATAGCTAGCTGGGTCAATTTGTAGTTGGAGCTTAGAGGCTCTGAAGACCAGCCCTCTGGAATTTCCCCCTGCTCTATAACTTTGCAGAAAGGTCTACAAGTAGTGGGTGGATTTGAGGAGTGGCTGATCTGCACTTTTGAGGGATCCTGGCCAATCCCCAACAAGAGGAGCAAGGAGCCAGGACAACCTTTAAAAGTGAATGAGCCTACTCAGCTGCAGGAGAGTTCGGGTGGAGGACAGAGAGAATGTGAGGCTGAAGCCAGATGCCTGGTAGGGGGCCCAGATGGAGAGGGGGCTCACCTGCAGGCACTGGAGCTGGGAAGGATGAAACCCTAGACCCTCACCAGCCCCCAGAGCAAGAACCACCTGTGCAGCAGGGAAGGAGCGGCCCAGCTAAAAGGCCTGGTAACAGCAAAAGACCCACCAGCAGCACAGGAGAAGGACTGAGTGAGTAGACCTGCACCCCCTGGGGCAGATAGGGGAAGGAGCACTCTGGTGGGAAACCAGATTTGCCACCTACTGGGGCTGTCTAATTTCTTAAAGTGACAGGCACTGGATCCCCTGCTCAGGGACACCTCCAGACAGCTGGATAAAGAGGAGTTTATCTGGGGTCTGGGGTGGTACTACAGGAGATGCTGGCTAGCTCTCCAAAAAAGACTATGTTGCAGAAGAGACTTGTAAATAGTTCCAGTAAGTTGTCCTCAGTTCATCAGTTTCATTGGGCATCCCATATACCCCTTACCGCATCCAAGTTGAAATCCCCCCTACTAAAACATAGTAAAAAATAAAAAAAAGCTCAAGGACTGATTACTGACTCCTGGATGCAAGACTATGGAGAATGCATGTTTCCTGGCCATGCAGGGCTACAGGTGGACTCAACTCTATTGCAGCTCCTAAGGGGGGTAGTGCTATATATATATATATATATTATATATATATATATATATATATATATATATATATATATACAGGTCACACTCGAAAAATTAGAATATTGTGCAAAAGTTCATTTATTTCAGTAATGCAACTTAAAAGGTGAAACTAATATATGAGATAGACTCATTACATGCAAAGCAAGATAGTTCAAGCCGTGATTTGTCATAATTGTGATGATTATGGCTTACAGCTCATGAAAACCCCAAATCCACAATCTCAGAAAATTAGAATATTGTGAAAAGGTGCAGTGCGGCGATCGGTGGTCCTCTGTGTCTCTCGGACACAGCGGATCACCGATCAACGGAAAGAGCAGAAGATGTCAGCTCGGTCATGTGATCAGCTGTGTCCAATCACAGCTGCTCACGTGTAAATAGGGGAATGTCGGTTATCGGCATTTCTCTCCTCACGAGCTGTCACGCTGACAGCTCGAGAGGGAGAGACGGTAAACGGCTTTACTCAGAGGGGACATGTGCACTGATCATCAGGGCACTGATGATCAGTGTAGCCCCAGCAGTGCCACCTGTCAGTGTCCATCAATGCCAGCTGTCAGTGCTCATCAATGCCACCTGCCAGTGCCCATCAGTGCCACATATTAGTGCCTACCAGTGCACATCAATGCCACATATCAGTGCCCATCTGAGATGCCTTTCAGTGTTACCTGGCAGTGGTGCCAGTTAGTGCCACCTATCAATGCCAATCAATGCTGCCAATCAGTGCCAGTCAGTGCCGCCTATCAGTGCCCGTCAGTGCTGCCTATCAGTGCCACCTAACAGTGCCAGTCACTGCCACCTAATGGTGCCAATCAGTGCCGCCTATCAGTGCCAGTCAGTGCTGCCTATTAGTGCCACCTATCAGTGCCATATATGAGTGCTGCCTTTCAGTGTCCATCAGTGATGCCTGTCAATACCCATCCGTGCCACCTACCAGTGCCTCCTCATCAGTGCCCATCAGTGCCACCTATCAGTGTCCATCAGTGCAGCCTATCAGTGCCCATCACTGCAGCCTCATTAGCGCACATCAGTGAAGGAAACAAATCACTTATTCACAAAATTTTATAACAAAAACTAAGAAAAAACATTTTTTTTTCAAAATATTCTGTGGTTTTTGGTTTGTTTAGCAAAAAACCCAGAGGTGATTAAATACCACCAAAAGAAAGCTCTATGTGTCTCAAAAAAATGATAAAAAATTTCATATGGGTACAGTGTTGCATGACCGCACAGTTGTCATTCAAAGTGTGACAGCGTTGAAAGCTGAAAATTGGCCTGGGCAGGAAGGGGGTATAAGTGCCCTGTAGGTGAGTGGCTAAGTAGAGCAGACATGGACCTGTCATTTGCTTGCTCAGCCAGCGGGAATCAGCAGGCAGATCCCCCGTTGAGCACGCAGATCCACTGGTGGAGTCCACTCATGTGAAAGCAGCCTTACATATTTTTATGAAGCACAAACCAATAACATTGAGGCCCCATTCACACTTTGTGTATTGGGAACGCATGTTACAGCTTGTGTTTTTTTTGGGAGCAATTTACGCATTTCTGCGTGTCACCAATTCAAATGAATGGACTGCCCTATGCAGATTTGTTGCGCAAAAGAAGCTCATATACCTTTTGGAGTGATGAGCTTCACATGATTTTTTTCATGCATGTTTTGCCACAAATTTAGTGCGATTTGAAATCATGGACAGAATCGTTAGGTGCGAATGGGACCTGATTGTTGCAGTAAACACTGAAAACTTATACTTAGCGAAAAGAACATCTGTATAAAGAAGCAGAAGGGGGTTACATATTTCTTGTTAGTACTAAGGATACAAGGAAATGTGAATACATCACCATCTCCTTTAAATGATGGTTACTGTTTTACCTCTTAATTTCCTTTACACGATGCATATGTACTGTTCACATCAAGAGCTTGGCCACTCACTGTCCTATATTTGTTATTTCCTACATCAAAGGGAAAGTGCCTAACCCATAAAATGATTCCTCCCCTGCTGCAGAGAGAAAGGAAACGTACAGCTTACATTTATGCATTTTTAGAACACAGGAACAGAAGAAACTGATTACTGTAGTATGGAGTGCAGAATGACACTTAGCAAAGAACATGTGTACCAAAATACAAGGGTGGTCTTAAAGGTCAGTAGGTAGAATTAATGCTGAACAGACTTCTCCAGTGGAGAATCACCTAAAGCTATGGCATAAGGTTTGCATATGGTATGACATTAGAGACACACACACAAAGCAAGATGAAAATTCACTTAACTGTTTTAGCACATTCTTGTGCAGGGCATGGCGTGTTTACATAAATAAGCTGAATGCAATTCAGTGTTGCTTTTTGCGCATTCAGGCATATTTAATAATTTCCTTATACAGTATTTAATAGCCATTGCAAAAAGGAAGGATGACGTGTGAACCATAGGACCCTATGAAATATCAGTTACTTATAGTGAGAAAAAATGATTTGCGACTGGTTGTTAAAATTATTTTAGAGTACTGGTCTTTGCACATTGTTTCATATCTTATTTAGGAAAAATTCTAATGCTCTTTAAATAAGTAAACATTTTATCTTTATATTTTAACATTACCAGAAAGTATATTTAGATGAGGCTTTTGTATTTTTTTTCTTGCTGTTATACACTATATTGCCATAAGTGTTGGGATGCCTGTCTTTACACGCACATGAACTTTAACGGCATTCCAGTCTTAGTCTGTAGGGTTCAATATTGAGTTGGCCCACCCTTTGCAGCTATAACAGATTCAACTCTTCTGGGTAAGGCTGTCCACAAGGTTTAGGAGTGTGTCTATGGGAATGTTTGACCATTCTTCCAGAAGCACATTTGTGAGGTCAGGCACTGATGTCAGACAAAAAGGCCTGGCTCACAGTCTCTGCTCTAATTCATCCCAAAGATGTTCTATCAGGTTGAGGTCAGGACTCTGTCCAGGCCAGTCATGTTCCTCCACTGCAAATTCACTCATCCATGTCTTTATGGACCTTGCTTTGTGCACTGGTGCGCAGTCATGTTGGAACAGGAAGGGGCCATCCCTAAACTCTTCCCACAAAGTTGGGAACATGAAATTGTCCAAAATGTCTTGGTACGCTAACGCCTTGAGACTTCACTTCACTGGAACTAAGGGGCCAGGCCCAACCCCTGAAAGACAACCCCACAATATAATGCCCCCTCCACCAAACTTTATACTTGGCACAATGCAGTCAGGTAAGTACCGTTTTCCTGGCAACTGCCAAACCCAGATTGCCAGACAGAGAAATGTGATTAATCACTTCAGAGAACACATCTCTACTGCTCTAGAGTCCAGTGGCGGCATGCTTTACACCACATCCCACACTTTGCATTACACTTGGTGATGTAAGGCTTGGATGCAGCTGCTCAGCCATGGAAACCCATTCTACGAAGCTCTCTACGCACTGTTATGCTAATCTGAAGGCCACATGAAGTTTGGAGGTCTGTAGCTATTGGCTCTGCAGACGGTGACTTCTGTGAATCTGCGCACTGCGCTTCAGCATGCGCTGACCCCGCTCTGTCATTTTACATGGCCTACCACTTCATAGCTACGTTGCTGTTGTTCCCAGTTGCTTGCACTTTGTTATAATTCCACGAACAGTTGACCATGGAATGTTTAGTAGCAAGGAAATTTGATGGATGGACTTATTGCACAGGTGGCAACCTATCACTGTACCACGCTTGAATTCACTGAGCTCCTGAGAGTGACCCATTCTGTCACAAATGTTTGTAGATGCAGTCTGCATACCTAGAGGCTTGATTTTATATACCTGTGGCTATGGAGGTGATTGGAACCCCTGAATCCAATGATTTGGAGGGGTGTCCCAATACTTTTGGCAATATAGTGTATATTTCAAAACAGGACGCCAATCAAAAATAACAAGATAAAAAAATGAATAGAGCTAAAAGATAAAACAACAAAACCAGTTTTAGCTGTGATTTTCACATTTACTCCACATTTTCCCCTCAGTATTTTCTTCTGCACTACATGTCCGCTGCCACTAGATAGTCAGCATCATTCAACACATTTCATATGAGCCCAGGTCATCCTGGCCCCAACTCTGTTTAGTTTTACTTGAAAGATCAACTCTAGGCATACAATGGTAAGCATTTATGAGATGTTTTACTTACCAAAGGAATAGGTATTTCTGTCCATCCAGTCCTGTGATTTACACAGCTCTGTCACACAGCACATCTCTATCTAGCAGGGCTGCTAGCTGATCTTTCTCTGTTACAGTTTTTACTTACAGATTTCCTCCTCACCAACACCCTGTGACTGTACAGTGGAAAGAAAAGCAGTACAGTGATGAGCTCATCTCTTGGTCACTGCTTTTCCCTCCTATCAGCATGTTTCTTGTCAGATTATTATTATTATACAGGATTTATATAACACCAACAGTTTGCTCAGCGCTTTACAATATAACGGGAGACAATATAGCAACAATACAGTTCAATACAAGAGGGAAAGGAGGGCCCTGCTCCTTGGAGCTTACAATCTAGGAGATGAACTGATTTCTCCTTGTAATGCTTTTTTTTCTCTCACACTCCAGCTCAGCTTTACAGGGACTGCAGAAGGCTGATATCAGGTCAAATTCTGGTACTTACACTGCTTGCATTAAAAAAAAATAAAGATGTATTTTTGATTACAGAGTTGCATTGATTTCTATCTTTTATATCTGCCTGGAATTCAGTTTTAAAGTAAAACTTCACCCAAAAGGTTTGTATCCCCCTCCACTGCCACATTTGGCACTTTTTGGAGGGGAGCGGGTACCTGGTTTTGACCTGCTCCCATTTCCGGGTCAGATTCGCCACAGCGATCTGAGCCAGAAGTGCGACCCCCCTCCTTCCCCCACACCCTTCCGGGACACTTCACAAGTCCCAGAAGACTGTGGGACCATTCACAAAGCGTAGCGCACTTCATGCATGTAAGAAATCAGCTATGAAGCCGCAAGGATGCCAGGAAGTGCACCCAAAGCCAAACGAAGAATCGGCTTAGGTGAGGACATTGCTGAATGCCTGGACAGAGAAGTCTCTTATATTAAAAATCAGCAGCTACAATATTTGTAGCTGTTGACTTTTAATTTTTTGGGGGGGAGCCTTGAGCTCCGCTTTAATAATTGTACTATGTATATTAGGGATTACCATTAGTATTTCCTGTTTAAAGCAAACCTGTGTTGTGAAAATATGTCCGCTGACACTGCTCGTTATTTTTTTTTAATAAGCTACTTGCCTAGCTGGTAAGGTTTCAGCAATTTTTGAGCAATCTAGAACTAATGAGAAGATATGAATGTTCGTAGTTTTTTCTGACTTTATCTGAATTGTCATTCAGCATCAGTGATTTAGAAAGCAAGGGGCCCAGAAATAGCCAGGTAACCATGGGCATTCATTGCTAGTGCTGTGCACCCGGGTTGTCCCAGAGGCAGGGGCGGACTGACCATTTGAGCCCCTGGTACCTCTTTATAGGCTTTTTTGGGTGTGCTTTGAGTGTGGGCAAGGACACAGGGGCCCCATGATCCCCTATTGCCCGGGGGCCCCATGAGTTGTCAGTCCGCCCCTGCCCAGAGGCAATATGAGGGGACCAAAGATTAGGAGCGTGTGACCATTTAACTATTATCGTCCAAGCTCACAATATCAGCGGTTTATGGACAAATAGAACAAGCACACTTGTCAGCGCCACTGGTAAAAAAAAAAGCCCTCAACTCCACAAATGGGCTCAAATAGGCTCCTTTTCATTCTTGTCCATGCCACAGGGATAGCACCATTGGACTTGTCTGCACTGCATGCTAGATCGGCCTTGCTGCCCACTTGAGTTTAGAGAAACCAATACCAAAATAAAAACAAAAGAAGAAAGGGCATCACACTTATGCAATACTATAAACAGTCTTTAATTAATAAAATCAAATGCCAGTGTACTCACAAAGGTACACAACATAGTGCATGTAACAGATCCATTACAACACAGGAAAAGTGTCCATATACAGGAGCATAGGTAATGTGTATCATGGGCAGAAGAAGGGCTCTGAAGAAGAGGGCTCTATCCTGTGAAATGTGAGGAGGGAAATCCAGATTGGAGACTGTCTAAACACATAGGTGGATTCGGGGAGAAAAATCATTTTTCTTAAGCTAGTGCATTCACCACTGAAAGAGCAACAGAATCACACAGCAATCACGGCAAACCACATAACGTGAAGCTTGTCACTCAAAAAGGAGAAGGAGCTACCTTTGGGTGCCCAATGCAGCTTGCCACGCAATTCTGTCCTGCAACAGTCATGGCAAAACTGCACTGCAGTTGAGGTGCCATTAAAATGAATGTCACCCAAACTCGTGTAGCGTGTTTTACCATGATTGCAGTGCGATTTGAAATGGTGATTCCGCCCACGATCCCAGATCACAAGATGTGAACGGGGCCTTAAGGTCTGCAAGGGGTTGGCTGAAGAGAACTGAACATCATTAAGGTAAATCACTGAGTAATCATCATATAGTGGTAACTTATCTTCTAGCACCCCCACCCATAGACGATGAATATGTAGGTTAGCATGCACCAGAGTCATCAGGGGTTCCATGCCCAGAACAGAGAATAGCCCTGTCTTGCACTCCTATGAAGAGTAAAAGAGGTAGACAACCCTTATTTTTTAACTCTTTCATTTCCTTCCCTGAGCATTTTTAACAATTTAAAATTTGTGTTAGTTTTTGTAGCACTAAATTTGGTGCTCAGAGAAGGAAATTTGGCACCCACCCTCCCCGTACAGTAGCAAAATGTAGGGCTATCTTAGCCTTAGCACACATTCTTCCCTTACAGCCATGTCTTCAGGATGTTATAGGTCACATTGAGGGCTATCCCAGCCTTGGAACCTGTCCTCTCTATGAAGCCAGTGTCTTCTGTACAGTATAAATCAGAATTAGAGCTGTCCCAGATTTGGCAAGCATTCTCTCCTTACAATAGTGTTTTCTGGATGGTATGTCACATTGAGGGCTGTCCCAGCTTTGGCATCTATCTTCAAGATACAGCACAATGTCTTCTGGATGATATAGGTCACATTTGGGGTTGTCCTATACTTGGTACCCTTCCTCCCCATCCAGTAGTTTCTTCTGGATCATGCAAGTCCCACTTAGGGCGATCTGAGCTTTGTTACCCATGCTCCCCATCCATCAGTGTCTTTTTGATGGAATAAATCACATTGAAGGGTGTCCTAGCTTTAGTACCCATCCGCTCCATACAGCACAGGATGGTACGTCACTTTTAGCACTATTCCAACCATGGTACCTAACCTTTCCACATAACACATGGTTTTCTTGATAGTATAAGTAATATTTACGACTATCCCAGACTTGCCACTTGTCCTCTCCATATAGCAGCATTGCCTAAATGATAAAGGTTACATTGAGGGCTGTCCCAGCCTTGGTAGCTGTCCTTTCCATACAACAGTATCTACTGGATGGTATAAGGCCCATTTAAGACACTCCTGGTCTTGGTACCCATTCTCTACATACACCAGTGTCTTTTGGATGGTATAAATTGCATTGAGGACTGTTCGAGCTTTGATTCTCTCCATACAGCACAATATATTATGCATGGTATAGGTAGGTCACATTTAAGGCTCTTATAGCCTTGGCACCCATCCTCTTCATAGATCACATTGTCTTCTGGTGGTATAAGTCCCATTAAGGGCTATTCTAGCCTTGGTATCCATGCCACCACATAACACAGTGGCTTCTGGTTGGTATCAATCTCACTAAAGAGTATCCCAGCCTTGGCATCCCTCCTCTCCACAGAGCTGTGTCTTCTGAATGATACAGGTCACATTTAGGACTATCCCAGCCTTGGTACCTGTTCTCTCCATACAGCACTTTGTATTCTGGGTGGTATACAAAAGTCACATTTAGGACTATCCCAGCTTTGGTACCCTTCCTCTCCATACAACATTGTCTTCTGAATGCTATAAATCAAATTGAGGGCTGTTCAAGCCTTGGTGCCTGTCCACTCTATACAGCACAATGTCTCCTGAATGGTATGATCAGATTTTGGGCTCTCCTAGTCTTGGCACTCATCCTCTCCATAGAGCACAAGGTCTTCATTTAGGGCTATCCTAGCTTTGGTACTTTTTTCCCTCCATACACAGCTGTATCTTCTCGATGATGTAATTCATATTTAGGGCTACCCTAGCCTTGACACCCATCATATCCATACAGTAGTGTATTCTGGATGAAATAGGTCACATTGAGGCCCATCCCAACTTTGGTATCTGTCCTCTCCCTACAGCGCAATATCTTCCTGATGATATAAAGTCACATTGAGGGCTGTCCAAGACTTGACACCTATCCTCTTCATACATCACAATGTCTTCTGGATGATATAGGTCACATTGGGGGCTGTCCCAAGCAAGGTACCTGTACTCTCAATTCAGAACAATGTTTTCTGGATGGTGTAGGTTATATTTAGGGCTAGCTTTGGAACCTGTCCTCTGGGGCCCCATATAGCAGTGTTTTCTGGATTGCATAAGTCACACTGAGGGATGCCATCGCCTTGGTACACACACTCCCCCTACAGCACAATGTATTCTAAATAAGTCCAATTTAGTAACTGTCCTCTCCATACAGCACAGTTTATTCTGGATGTTGTACTGTATGTCACATTGTGGGCTGTCCCAGGCTTGGTCATCTCAATACAGCACAGTCAGTATCTCCTGGATGGTAAAGTCACAATTAGGACTATCCTAGCATTGGTACCCAACCTATCTTAGCATTGTGGGCTGTCCCAGGCTTGGGTCATCTCAATACAGCACAGTCAGTATCTCCTGGATGGTAAAGTCACAATTAGGACTATCCCACATCTGTCTTCTGCATGATCACATTTAGGACTGTCTCAGCCATTGTACCTGTCCTCTCCCTAAAGCACACTCTCTCTTGAATGGTATAAGTCATGTTGAGGTTGGTCCCTTCCTATCCATACAGCAGTGTCCTTTGGATGGTATAAGGCACATTTAGAGATATCCAATTCTTGGTACCCATCTTCTCCATACAGCTATGTCTTCTGGATTGTATAAGTCACATTTAGGACTATCCCAGCCTTTGAACCCATTCTCTCTATACAGCACAGTGTATTCTGGATGATATGTCATATTGAGGACTATCCCAGCCTCAGTCCTCTCCATACAGCACAGTGTCTCCTGGATAATAAAGGTCACATATAGGACTACCCCATCCTTACTACCTGTTCTCTCCATACAGCACAGCATTTATATGGAATAAGCCCCACTAAGGGCTTTCTCAGCCTTGGTCCTCTCCATACAGCACAGTGTCACTTAAATGGTATGGGTGGCAATGAGGGATAACTCAGATTTGGTACTCACCATAAAGCACAGAGTCTCCTGGTTGGTATTGGTAACATTGAGGGCTGCCCCATCCTTGGTCCCCTCCATTCATCACAGTGTCTCCTGGATGGTATACGTCACATTGAGGGCTATCCCAGCCTTGGTTCTCTCCATACAGCACAGTGTCTTCTAAATTGTATAGGTCGCATTGGGGGCTGTCTCAGCCTTGGTCCTCTCCATACAGCACAGTATCTCCTAGATATTTGAGGTGACATTGGGGGCTATACTAGCCTTGGTCCCCTCCATACTGCACAGTGCCTCCTGGATAGTATAGGTCACAATGAGGGCTATTCCAGCCTTGGTTCTCTCCATATAGCACAGTATCTCCTGGATGGTATAGGTGACATTGAGGACTATGCCAGCCTTGGTCCCCTCTATACAGCACAGTTTCTCCTGGGTGATATACACTATATTGACAAAAGTATAGGGATGCCTGTCTTTACACAAACATGAACTTTAATGATATCCCAGTCTTAGTCTGTAGGGTTCAATATTGAGTTGGCCCACCCTTTGCAGCTATAACAGCTTCAGCTCTTCTAGGAAGGCTGTCCACAAGGTTTAGGAGTGTGTCTATGGGAATATTCTACCATTCTCCTAGATTGTAAGCTCGAAAGAGCAGGGCCCTCAATCCCCTCATGTTTTGCATTGTATTGGTATTGTTCTGTCACATGTTCTGTCCCCCTCTGTAATGTACAGTGCTGAGCGAACTATTGGCGCTTTATAAATATTGTATAATAATAATAATAATTCTTCCAGAAGCGTATTTGTGAGGTCAGGCACTGATGTTGAACGAGAAGGCCTGGCCCACAGTCTCCACTCTAATTCAACCCGAAGGTGTTCTGTCGGGTTAAGGTTAGGGCTCTGTGCAGGCCAGTCAAGTTCCTCCACTCCAAACTAGCTCATCCATGTCTTTATGGACCATGCTTTGTGCACTGGTGGGTAGTCATGTTGGAACAGGAAGGGGCCATTCCCAAACTGTTCCCAGAAAGTTGGGAGCATGAAACTGTCCAAAATGTCTTGGTATGCAGACGCATTAAGAGTTCCCTTCACTGGAACTAAGGAGCTAAGCCCATCCCCTGAAAAATAACCCCACACCATAATCCCCCCCTCTACCCAACTTTACACTTGGCACCATGCAGTCAGACAAGTACCGTTCTCCTGGAAACCGCCAAACCCAGACTCCTCCATTGGATTGCCAGACAGAGAAGCGTGATTGGTCACTCCAGAGAACATGTCTCCACTACTCTAGAGTTCAGTGGAGGCGTGCTCTACACCACTGCATCTGATGCTTTGCATTGCACTTGGTGATGTAAGGTTTGGATGCAGCTGCTCGGCCATGGAAACCCATTCCATGAAGCTCTGTACGAAGTGTTGTGCTAATCTGAAGGCCCCATGAAGTTTGGAGGTCTTTAGCTATTGCAGTGGTTCTCAACCTTCCTAATGCCGCGACCCTTTAATACAGTTCCTCATGTTGTGGTGACCCCCAACCATAAAATTATTTTCGTTGCTACTTCATAACTGTAATTTTGCAGTGGGAGGAGTAGTGACACATCATTCGTGTCAGTGAGAGGAGTAGTGCCACATCACTGATGTCAGTGGGAGGAATAGTGTCCCATCGTTGGTATCAGTGGGAGGAATAGTGCCACATTGTTGGTGTCAGTGGGAGGAATAGTGCCCCATCATTGGTGTCAGTGTGGGAGGAATAGTGCCCCATCATTGGTGTCAGTGGGGGTGGGGGGAATAGTGCCCCATCATTGATACTAGTGTGGGGGGAATTGTGCTCCATCATTGGTGTCAGTGGGGGGGATAGTGCCCTATTGTTGGTGTCAGTGGGGGGAGGAATAGTGCCCCATCGTTGGTGTCAGTGAGGGCAGGAATAGTTCCCCATCGTTGGTGTCAGTGGGGGGGGGGGAGGAAATAGTGCCCCATCATTGGTGTCAGTGGGAGGAATCGTGCCCCATCATTGGTATTAGTGACACCAATGATGTGGCACTATTCCTGCCACTGACACCAATGATACTTACCTTGCTAACTCCTGCTCCAGCCTGGGTTCGCTCCCTCTCCCATCTACAGCCAGCATACCTGACTGCAGCAGCACCATCTGCACACTACAGACACTTATCTGTCAGCTGTCTTTCTTCTCCGGCCACTCCCTCGCTCGATCTTCTTTGATCTTCGCGCTGCTGCTTGGCTCCTCCTCCTCACTGGTGATTGGCCGCCTGTGTGCCTCTCCTGAGCTACAGTTCCAGCGGCCAATCACTGGCGAGGAGGCAGAGCTGTTGAGTGATCCCGGGGATGTGGCCAGATGACAGGGGCGGCATGTCATCCCGCACACACATTGCGGTCCAGGGAAATGTGGACGTATCTGCATGTGGGAGGACCCGCCTGGAGACTGATAGAGGAGCGGTGTCTCGGTTCCTAAGACCATCGGAAATATGTGTTTTCCGATGGTCTTAGGAGACCCCGTGTGAAAGGGTTGTTCGACCCCCAAAGGGGTTGCGACCCACAGGTTGAGAACCGCTGAGCTATTGGCACTGCAGACAGTTGGCGACTTCTGTGCACTGTGCACTTCAGCATGTGCTGACCCTGCTCTATCATTTTACATGACCTACCACTTTGTGGCTGAGTTGCTGTTGTTCCCAGTTGCTTCCACTTTGTTATAATACCACTAACAGTTGACTGTGGAATACTTAGCAGCAAGGAAATTTCACAGATGGACTTGCTCAAACTGCAGAGGTGGCAACCTATCATGGTACCATAAAAAAACTAAAAAATTCTTCCTGCACCAAGTTAAACACCCTACTACAGGATCTATCCTGCTGCTGTGCAATGTGGTGAACACAAAATGTGATAAATATAAATAAACAGCGCAAACATAGACCTTTAAATCAAATCAATATATAAAGTGCAAACATATATATAAAAAATTATATTAATAGTGAAGTCCATCATGGTTGATAGACAACAAAAGTTCAGAAATCTCAAAAAAATATTTTGTGCAAAAAAATTTTTCAAATTCTTCTTCTAATGTAAAGAAAAAAACTTCCACCTTCCACCCGTGCAAACCAACATCAAATGCACTCACCAGATTTAGGTGAATGAAACGCCTTTTAGGAATTTATATGGGATCCTAAACCCTCTTTCGTATCCACTCTATAGGAATCCTCATTTATATTTATATTTTTTATTTTTATTTTATTTTAATTTTAATTCTAACTTTATTTTTATTTTATAACCATTATTATTTTTATTTTTATATTTATTTATTTTATTTATTTTTTTTATCACTATTCAGCAGTGATGTCATTCATTACTCATTTAATAAAGTGATTTAAATGTGAGTGGCCTTAATCCTTGATTTTATTCATAAATGGTATTTTGCAATATTACACTATCTGAGATTTTTCTCTCCCCGGTTGTATGGTGGAGCCTACACTGAAGGTGAGGATTCCTATAGAGTGGATACGAAAGAGGGTTTAGGATCCCATATAAATTCCTAAAAGGCGTTTCATTCACCTAAATCTGGTGAGTGCATTTGATGTTGGTTTGCACGGGTGGAAGGTGGAAGTTTTTTTCTTTACATTAGAAGAAGAATTTGAAAAATTTTTTTGCACAAAATATTTTTTTTGAGATTTCTGAACTTTTGTTGTCTATCAACCATGATGGACTTCACTATTAATATAATTTTTTATATATGTTTGCACTTTGTATATTGATTTGATTTAAAGGTCTATTTTTGCGCTGTTTTTTTTTATATTTATCATGGTACCATGCTTGAATTCACTGAGCTCCTGAGAGCGACCCATTCTTTCACAAATGTTTGTAGAAGCAGTCTGCATGCCTAGGTACTTGATTTTATACACCTGTGGCCATGGAGGTGATTTTATACATCTGTGGCCAATGATTTGGAGGGGTGTCCTAATACTTTTGGCAATATAGTGTAGGTGACATTGAGGACTATCCCAGCCTTGGTCCTCTCGGTACAGCACAGTGTCTCCTGTATGATATAGGTGAGTTTTAGGACTATCCCAGCCTTGGTCCCCTCCATAGAGGACAGTGTCTCCTGGATGATATAGGTGACACTGAGGACTATCCCATCTTTGGTCCACTCCATACAGCACAGTGTCTCCTGGATAGCATAGGTGATACTGAGGACTATCCCAGCCTTGGTTCCCTCCATACAGCACAATGTCTCCTGGATGGTATAGGCGGCACTGAGGACTATCCCATCCTTGGTCCCCTCCACAGAGGACAGTGTCTCCTAAATAATATAGGTGACATTGAGGACTTTCCCAGCCTTGGTCCCCTCCACAGAGGACGATGTCTCCTGGATGATATAGGTGACACTGAGGACTATCCCATACGTGGTCCCCTCCACAGAGGACAGTGTCTCCTGGATGATATAGGTGACACTGAGGACTATCCCATCCTTGGTCCCCTCCACAGAGGACAGTGTCTCCTGGGTGGTATAGGTGACACTGAAGACTATCCCATCTTTGGTCCCCTCCATACAGCATGGTGTCTCCTTGGTGGTATAGGTGACACTGAGGACTGTCCCATCTTTGGTCCCTTACATGCAGCACAGTGTCTCCTGGGTGGTATAGGTGACACTGAGGACTGTCCCATCTTTGGTCCCCTCCATGCAGCACTGTGTCTCCTGGATGAGATAGGTGACACTGAGGATTGTCCCATCCTTGGTCCCCTCCATGCAGCAGAGTGTCTCCTGGATGATATAGGTGACACTGAGGACTGTCCCATCTTTGGTCCCCTCCATACAGCACAGTGTCTCCTGGATCATATAAGTGACACTGAGGACTATCCCAGCCTTGGTTCCCTCCACAGAGGACGGTGTTTCCTGGATGATATAGGTGACACTGAGGACTATCCATCCTTGGTCCCCTCCATACAGCACAGTGCCTCTTGGATGGTATAGGTGACAATGAGGACTATCCCAGCTTTGGTTCCCTCCAAGAAGCACAGCGTCTCCTGGGTGGTATAGGTGACACTGAGGACTATTACATCCTTGGTCCCCTCCATAGAGTACGGTGTCTCCTGGATCATATAGGTGACACTGAAGACTATCCCATCCTGGGTCCCCTCCATAGAGGACGTTGTCTCCTGGATGATATAGGTGACGCTGAAGACTATCCCATCCTTGGTCCCCTCTAAAGAGGACAGTGTCTCCTGGATGATATAGGTGACGCTGAGGACTATCGCAGCCTTGGTCCGCTCTACAGAGGACGGTGGCTCCTGGATGATATAGGTGACACTGAGAACCAGGGGCGGACTGACCATTTGGAAACTTGGGCACTGCCCAAAGGCCTGGGGTCAGTAGGGGGCCCCATGAGATGCCCCTGGAACCTTTTTCATAGGCTTTTTTGAGTTTGGGGAAGGACACGGGCCCCATGATCCCTTATTGCCTGGAGGCCCCATGAGTTGTCAGTCCGCCCCTGTTGAGGACAGGGGCGGACTGACCATTTGGAAACTCGGGCACTGCCCGAGGGCCTATGGTCAGTAGGGGGCCCCATGAGATGCCCCTAGTACCTTTTTCATAGGCTTTTTTGAGTTTGGGCAAGGACACAGGGGCCCCATGATCCCTTATTGCCCGGGGGCCCCATGAGTTGTCAGTCTGCCCCTGGCTGAGGACTATCCCAGCCTTGGTCCCCTCCACAGAAGACGGTGTCTCCTGGGTGGTATAGGTGACGCTGAGGACTATCCCAGCCTTGGTCCCCTCCACAGAGGACGGTGTCTCCTGGGTGGTATAGGTGACGCTGAGGACTATCCCATCCTTGGTCCCCTCCACAGAGGACGGTGTCTCCTGGATGGTATAGGTGACACTGAGGACTGTCCCATCTTTGGTCCCCTACATGCAGCACAGTGTCTCCTGGGTGGTATAGGTGACACTGAGGACTGTCCCATCTTTGGTCCCCTCCATGCAGCACTGTGTCTCCTGGATGAGATAGGTGACACTGAGGATTGTCCCATCCTTGGTCCCCTCCATGCAGCAGAGTGTCTCCTGGATGATATAGGTGACACTGAGGACTGTCCCATCTTTGGTCCCCTCCATACAGCACAGTGTCTCCTGGATCATATAAGTGACACTGAGGATTATCCCAGCCTTGGTTCCCTCCACAGAGGACGGGTGTTTCCTGGATGATATAGGTGACACTGAGGACTATCCATCCTTGGTCCCCTCCATACAGCACAGTGCCTCTTGGATGGTATAGGTGACAATGAGGACTATCCCAGCCTTGGTTCCCTCCAAGAAGCACAGCGTCTCCTGGGTGGTATAGGTGACACTGAGGACTATTACATCCTTGGTCCCTTCCATAGAGGACGGTGTCTCCTGGATGATATAGGTGACGCTGAGGACTATCCCATCCTTGGTCCCCTCCATAGAGTACGGTGTCTCCTGGATCATATAGGTGACACTGAAGACTATCCCATCCTGGGTCCCCTCCATAGAGGACGGTGTCTCCTGGATGATATAGGTGACGCTGAAGACTATCCCATCCTTGGTCCCCTCTAAAGAGGACAGTGTCTCCTGGATGATATAGGTGACGCTGAGGACTATCGCAGCCTTGGTCCGTTCTACAGAGGACGGTGGCTCCTGGATGATATAGGTGACACTGAGAACCAGGGGCGGACTGACCATTTGGAAACTTGGGCACTGCCCAAAGGCCTGGGGTCAGTAGGGGGCCCCATGAGATGCCCCTGGAACCTTTTTCATAGGCTTTTTTTGAGTTTGGGGAAGGACACGGGCCCCATGATCCCTTATTGCCTGGAGGCCCCATGAGTTGTCAGTCCGCCCCTGTTGAGGACAGGGGCGGACTGACCATTTGGAAACTCGGGCACTGCCCGAGGGCCTAGGGTCAGTAGGGGGCCCCATGAGATGCCCCTAGTACCTTTTTCATAGGCTTTTTTGAGTTTGG